CCCCCGCACGCGCTCTGCCCGTGCGCAGAGGCTTGGCCGGCAGAAGGGGGGGGGTAGGGGGTGGAGGGAAGCGCCCCGTCGAGCCCTGCGGGGACGGCGCCTGGCCACTAGGGGGCCTTTTTGCATGAGGAGGGCCGTGGGTTGGGGGCGGGGGGAAGGGGGGGTTGTGGTTTGGAACGTCGGAGCGGGGTCCGTTGGAGCTTCCCTGGAGGACGGCCCGGCTTGCCCAGTGGGGAGCCCCGGAAGGGCGTCGCTGGCACACGGGGGCAGATCTTACGGGGGGGGCCCCTGAACCCAGGGCGGTGGGGCTGAAGTCCATGAGAGACAGTCTGGGGCAGTGGTTAACAGCAGTGGACTCTAATCTGGAGAACCGGGTTTGATTCCCCACTCCTCCTCCACCTCCACCTGCAGCCAGCTGGGTGACCTTGGGTCAGTCAGAGTTCTCTCAAGAGCACTCTCAGTCCCACCCACCTCACAGGGTGTCTTCTGTGGGGAGAGGAAGGGAAGGAGAGTGTAAGCCACTCTGAGACTCCCGGGCGTCTGTACTCCAATCTCCAATAAATCCAGTCTCTTTTATTTTTAGGTCACACCTACGTAGGGTGAGAGTTGGCATCTGGGTGTGTTGCAGGGTTTCTGGTTCTTCTGCTGGGTGGTCCTTAGTCATTGGTGAGAAGCTGTTTGAGGTGGGGTGGGCTACATGTAAAGGCCTGCACCCCCCCCCCCCCCAAGTGTAAGGGAAGATCTTGTCTCACTAATCTGTTTGTATTATTTGAGGGGGTGAACAGGTAGGTAGGTAAGCAGTGGGGTACCGCAGGGATCAGTACTCGGTCCGATGCTTTTTAACTTGTTCATTAATGATTTGGAGTTCGGAGTAAGCAGTGAAGTGGCTGAGTTTGCAGATGACACGAAGTTGTTCAGGGCGGTGAGAACCAGGAAGGATTGTGAGGCGCTCCAGAGGGATCTGTCGAGGATGGCCGAGTGGGCGTCAATGTGGCAAATGGGGTTCAATGTGGCCAAATGCAAGGTGATGCACATTGGAGCCAAAAATCCTAACTATAAATACACATTGATGGGGTCTGAACTGGCAGAGACTGATCAAGAGAGAGATCTTGGAGTTGTAGTAGATAACTCACTGAAAATGTCGAGACAGTGTGTGACTGCAATAAAGAAGGCCAATGCTATGCTGGGGATTATTAGGAAGGGTATTGAAAACAGACCAGCCAGTATCATAATGCCCCTATATAAATCAATGGTGAGACCTCATTTGGAATACTGTGTGCAGTTCTGGTCACCACACCTTAAAAAGGATATTATAGCTTTGGAAAAAGTGCAGAAAAGGGCAACTCGAATGATAAAAGGGTTGGAACACTTTCCCTATGAGGACAGGTTAAAGCGCTTAGGGCTCTTTAGCTTGGAGAAACGATGACTGAGGGGTGACGTGATCGAGGTTTAAAAGATTATGCATGGGAAAGAGCAGGTAGAGAAAGAGGTACTTTTCTCCCTTTCTCACAATACAAGAACTCCTTGTGGGCACTCCATGAAATTGTTGAGCAGTTGGGTTGGAATGGATAAAAGGAAGTACTTCTTCACCCAAGGAGTGATTAACACATGGAATTAACTGCCACAGGAAGTGGTGGCGGCTACAAGCATGGACGGCTTCAAAAGGGAATTAGATCGGCATATGGAGCAGAGGTCCATCAGTGGCTATTAGCCACAAGGCATAGATAGGGGCTCTGGGGCAAGTGATGCTCTGTCTTCTTGGTGCTTGGGGGGGGGGGTCAACAGTGGGAGGGCTTCTAGTGTCCTGGCCCCACTGCTGGACCTCCTGAGGGCACCTGGTATTTTTGGCCACTGTGTGACAGAGTGTTGGACTGGATGGGCCTTTGGCCTGATCCAACACTGGCGTCCCTTATGTTCTTATGTTAAGTGCCTGCGAAAGAGAAAGTTCCTTCTCCAGGAGAGTTGGAGGGTCGCTGATGGTGCGTTGGACCATGCTCAGCTGTGAGCCTTAGGTAGCAACCAGCACCGCTCTGTCTGTCTTGCCATTGGGCCTGTCTTGTTGCCAGCTCTTTTGGGGGGCCAGTCTGACGTCCATCTGGTGTTTTGCTTTACTGATGGGTCTTGTATTCCTGAGGATGCCTGCGGCGGTTCTTTCAGGAGCCAGTCTGCCCGCAGTCTGAGGGCTCGGAACACATGCGGCTAATTCGTGCTGTAGACTGTAGATGGTGGAGTATTTGACACGCTCTGGAACAGAGCTGGTATCATAATCATCTATTGGATTTCTGCAGACACGCATGGCAGCCCCGCGGGCCTCTAGTATCTAGTGCTGCTTTCGTACCTGTCAGAGAGATGGGTGTCAGTGTCCAGAAAATGCACTTGCTGCATGGACTGGCCAGTGCTCAGGCTGACCGTGGGGTCAACTGCTGGAAGTCCAGGGGCAGCCTCTCTGCTCGACTCCTTTCCTGTGTGTCCAGAGGATGGAAACGTCGTCACCAGTGAGGGCCACCTGCAAAAGAGGCCTTAGAGGGCAGGGAGCCAGAGCGGTGCTGCTCTAAGCCAGCCGTGGTGCTCTTTGCTCACTACTGGGGGGCCGTGATGCAGGTGCCCATGGCTGGGCCGTCCTCCAGCAGCTACGGGCTGTGGGGACCAAGTCTCAGGTAAAGATACGCAGGGGCAAAGCGGCAGAGCGTGAGAGGCAGGTCTGCGGGGGTGTTCTCTGGGGGAGGGTTCCCGTCGGCTTGGGGTCCGCCTTTGTGGGGGATGTTGGTCTGCTGGGACTTCACATCCAGAGGGGCCAAAATGGTATGTTCAGTGGAGCACAGTTTCCTTACGGAGTCAGTGTTGATGAAGAAGAAGAAGAAGAAGAAGAAGAGACTGGATTCATACCCCATGGCCCTTCACTACCGAAAGGTGTCTCAGAGCGGCTTACAGACTCCTCTCCCTTCCCCTCCCCACAACAGACAGACACCCTGTGAGGTGGGTGGGGCTGAGAGAGCCCTGACAGAAACTGCTCTTTTTCAAGAAGAGCTGTGCCAGAACTACGGCTTGTCCAAGGTCATCCAGCAGCTGCAAGTGGAGGAGCAGGGAATCAAACCCGGTTCTCCCAGATGAGAGTCCGTGCACTTAACCACTAGTTTGAGTTGGTTTTTATGCCCCACTTTGCTCTACCCAGAGGAGTCTCAAACCTGCTTGCCATCGACTTCCCTTCCTCTCCCTGCAACAGTAGAAAAGAGCAAGAGTCCAGGAGCACCTGAAAGACTTACGAAATTTATGGCAGGGGAGGAGCTTTCGTGAGTCGCTGCTCACCTCTTCGAAAACCAGAAGACGTGACTCCAGTGACGAAATTTATGGCAGGGGAGGAGCTTTCGTGAGTCGCTGCTCACCTCTTCGAAAACCAGAAGACGTGACTCCAGTGACTCCTGAAAGCTCCTCCCGTGCCACCAATCGGGTGAGTCCTGAAGGTGCTACTGGTCTCTGGCTCCTTTTTTATCGCTGCAGGCAGCCCAACACGGCCAACCGTCTTCATCTGTCTTCCCCCAACAGGCACCTTGTGGGGGAGGTGGGGGCTGGGGGAGTTCTGAGAGAAACTGTGACTGGCCCATGGTCGCCCAGCAGGCTTCATGGGGGGGGAGGAGGGGGGAGAATCAATTCGGCTCTCCAGATCAGAGCCTCTGCTCTCAACCAGGACACCATGCTGCCACCAGTCCTCGTGATGCTGGAGGCCGGGGCGGGTGTGTGTGTGTGCCAGGTTGCCAGGCTCCTGAATTTTGGGTATCGTGGCCAAGGGTCTTGGGGTGTGGCCGTGGAGGCTCACTCCTGCACCATGTGAGCTTTTGCCCTTCCTGCACTCTCCCCTGTGTGGCGTGAGGTGTGTGCTTGACGCACGGTGCTGGTGGCTCACAGAGGAGGAGGAGGAGGAGGCAAGTCCCTCCCGAGGAACGTAGGTGGTAAAA